AGTCTGAGTTATAACAGTTAGAGATAATAAAGATAAATTATTAATAGGATGCTCGCTCCGTGAATTCCTTCAGCCGTCGTGGATTCTGCTCCACAGCTTCTGCTTCCACTCGGATTATTTTTAGATTAATTTGTCGGCACTGGTTTTCTTTTGAATGGTTCCAGCAGTAAGAGGCAGCGCTCGGAGTGGGGAGAAGTGGAGAAGTGGGTGGGGTGGAGGTCAGAGGCTGCAAGGCGTGTGGGGGCCCAGCTGTGGGCGCTTTGATTTGGCCGCGAAGGTGAAAGCAGCGATTGAGGCCTGCGCCAGTTAACTTAACCTCCCACACACTTGAAAAGCTCAGCCGACTCCTTCCTCCTCACATGGAGGCGTAGAGAAAAGGGGGGGGGGGGGAGTTGAAACCTTCGCTGCCCTCCCAACAGAGGAGCGTTTCATTTCCTGCAAGAAACGAAAGAAGAAAAAAAACAAGGCCAGCATTCCTGAGCTGAGGAGGAGGAGCGGGAGGAGGAGCAGGAGGAGGTGAGGAGGAGGAGCAGGAGGTGAGGAAGGGTCAGGCTGCTTCTGAATCCCAGCATCGGTCAAATGGGCCTTATGAAGAAGTGGCCTTCTGCCCCCCCTCCCTCCCCACACACCTCAGGACTGTTCACCAGGCAGGAAGGCCTGAACTTTTCTTGTCTGTGTTTTTTTTTGGGGGGTGGGGGGTGTTACTCCCCAGGAAGTCGGGTGCAGGATCGGGCGTTCTGGCCCTCTTTGAGATCCTGGGATGAAAAGATGGAGGGTGGCGACGATGGGCGATGGGGGGGGGGGGTTGACGGTGGCGGTAAATAAAAGCGACGGGGGAGCGGCGGTCCTTTCAGTTTGTGCTTCGTGAAGCTCAGGGGTCAACTCTTTTATCCACATGAGGTAAAGCAGTCTGCCGGTGCGCGTGTGTGTGTGCGTGCGCGTGCGTGCGTGCGTGCGTGCGTGCGTGTGTGTGTGTGTGTGTGTGTGTGTGTCAGCAAACAGCAGGACTCCACAGACTTCTTTTCCACAGAAACACACGCAGCTGTGCCTCGAGGGAGAAGTAAACTAATATTGTTGCTGTTCCTTTTTCCTCAGCGCAGCCATGATGGTTTTAGTGGCAGGAGGCGTTCACCCACCTCCTCCTCTCCTCTTTGATCACCGAGTCTATTTGATGCTGCTCGGGTCTAAAATAACTCCTTTAGCTCGTCAATACCTGAAGCTGGCTTTGTGTTAGCTCAGGCCCAGATCACAGAACCAAGAAACACAGTTTGACAATTCAGGGACGCTTTGGATCCAACTTTTCATCTTCGCGTCAACCTGAAGCTGAAAACATGGATTCTTGCAGCGGAGCGGGTCCTGGACTGGTGACGGTTCGTCCACAGTTCCTTTCAGAGTTAGCATTTAGAGCAGAGGAGGTTCAGGAGATCTCAGAGCTCGTCTCTCATCATGACACAAATCGAACAAAGAATCAAAGTGTTTGTTAGGAAGAGCAAGAGAAAACGATGAAAACAGCTGAGGACCGCGACTGGTCAACTTCTGTTTCTCGATGGAATCGGTCTCAGCAACATGGAACGATGAAACCTGCCGACACGTCGTCATCACGTTCATCTGTTACAACTGTTGGTTTTCTACACTTTCCAGAGAATCTCACTCAAAAAGAGCTGAACAATCCCTTTAACTATGTTCACACTGAAGCAACGTGACCCTGTCCTGTAGGTTTCACCACACGTGGTTTCATTATGAATCCCATAAGGTTGGTAGAACTCATTAATGTCAGCTGAAGCAGCTGCAGTGAAGTCGATCAGCAGATCACTGATTGTTGCTGACTTCAGCTGCTAAATATGATAATTTCAGCTGCTAATATGATCATTTCAGCTGTTAATAATATGATCATTTCAGCTGCTAATAATATGATAATTTCAGCTG